GCTAAGGAAGTGTTTGACACACAGTAGGATTGTTTCTATTTTGTTGTCTTTTTTTTCTGAGTCTCTTGATTCTTGAAGTCTATTTCTCGTTTATTTACTTAACGACACTTGCTACTGTGAAACAGCTGCAATTGAGCGGTTTCAGACCTTCCCCCCAACCAGCCTTATCTCTGCTGTCACAGATCAGGATTGGTGGAAGTGAAAGTAAAAGGGAAAAAACAGTGGTTGGTGGGGGGTGCAAAACGATTACATTAATGGAACTTTAAATTTATTTTTTTGTACCATGTTCACGATTCAAAATATTCAGCTGACAGAAATTTTGATGACTCAAATATTTAAGTTAGTAACTTATTTAATTCTCAGGTCCAGTTGGTCCAGCAAAATATGAAGCTGGCTCAGCTGATTGCCGAACAATCTCACTTGTGGTTGTTCGCTTACATCAACCTGTAGGTTAACCAGTCATGTTTTTGTGATATCATGAAACACATACTGAAAGAGAGGACACATGCATGAGTGAGAACACAACAGAGAGAAATGCAGACAATATACACACAAAGAGGACTACAAGGGAACAGGCCACAGGTGGGAACACAGCTGACACTAAACTGAATGATGGCGCAGGGGAAGCAAAACTGAACAGAATCCGATTGTTCAGGCTGACGTCACTAGCCGTGTCTGGGTCTAAACTCCGCTGCAGGTCCATATATCAAACGATCACTATGGCATTACTGAGAGTTGAAAAACTGTCTAAAGTCTTTCATCTTTAATAAAATGATCAGCGTTCTGCTCTACCAGGTGTAATAATTGAGTTTAACATCCAGGCATCCATGAAAACGGAATTTATGACATTTAACGGAGTTAGAAGTTAGCAGGAAGTTAGCTCGCTAGCTTCTATCTAAATACAATATAGCATGTCCTGACTGCGGGGTTTTGGAAACAAATTCAAACGTACAGCTCTGTTATCACTTCCAGCATAAATGAAGACAGAAAACTAAACAGCAGTGACGTTTGTAGGGTTACTGAAGTTGGGCTAGCTGGTATTTAACGATGTGCTACGTGACCGCTTGCGACACAGCTATGTTAGCATAATATAAACAAGCTAACTTTTTTTCCCACTCAATAAAAGTTAACGTGAGTGTTCTCGGTGGTCAGGAACAAATGTAATCGCATGGCAGGATGCTGTAAAAGGACCAAACTTCAGCCAGGAGAACAACTGAGATAATCCATCCACAATACGAGGTTAGTCATTCATATACTGCTGCATGGGCTGGGCTGTAGTTACATCCTAAGGTTTTAAAAACTGAGCTTAAATAAATGATTAGCGGTAATAAAAGCCGAGGGAGGTCAACAGGGATCACTGACTGTTTTATGAGCTTTTTGAGATCAAATAGAAGAAAATACATAACATTAAACATGTTAACAACACAAAAGCCATATTAGACGCAGACTACTTTAGACCCGGAAGTAGGATTCGTCGCGTCATCACTGAACAACCGGATACACATGAGATAGAAGATTAACAAAGCAGGAAGTACAAACACTGAGAGCATGACTAAGACACGTGGGATTGACACTGGGACTAGGGAGAAAACAGACAGTCATGGGTTTGTGACCGGGAAGGCTGAAAGACAGAGACTATACTGTGGAAAACTGAGCTGAAGAAAAACTAATATAGAACTAGGACATAAACCATGACAAACACAAAAATTAGTTCAAAGATGTCTTAGAGGAGAAGAGAAAATAATTCCAAAATAAAGCCAACATGTGCTGCACAGTGAAGCTGGAATAAAGAAAAAACAGAGTGAAACACTGAAGCGGCTCTGATGAGCTGAATCATCATTAATCAAACACACACAATGATTTAAATGTTTTAAATAAAGAACTGGGCCTGGCTAAGAGCGCCCTCTGCTGCATTTTCACTTAAAGTGCTGCATTTTTGTCATCTTAATCCGGGCTGAACATCAGAGAGAAAAAATAATGAAAACTTAGCTGACTAGATGCAACTAAAGAATTGCATTTTCCAAATTTATTTATGACATGTATGATAGATTTCATGCTACTGGCGTAAATGTGGGTCTTTCTAAAAGAACTGGTCTTGCTGTCACTTCAGAGGTAAAAAGGCTGAAGTTCACCGGCTGATTATCATGTGGATCAGGGAAATTATTTTACTGCTATTGGTAAATAATCATCATCATTACTATTGTATTAATAATATAATCTGCAGCATTCAGTTCAGTTCAGTTCAGTTCATTTTTATTTCAAACATTTCAAACATGTGCCTTCACAATCATTACAAAATATCATTCCATTATTTGTTTGAAAAGGAGTAGGCTGAAGTATTTACTTATTTGTCCCTACCCCCTCAAGTTTTACCTCTCATTCATTTAATTTTTTTTTGTCTTAAATTAAACAAACAACATATGAAACATATGAAACATATGAAGTAAAACAAAACATAACATACATAAATCAAAACAAGAAATTAGCAAGCCCCACCACAGTATAGTTTCTTTCATATGAAAAATACAGAATGTGTATATTTGCAGATACACAAGTTATGGAAAAACAACAAACCAAAACAAAACAAAAAAACAAAAAAACAACCAAAAAAGAACCGCAACACCATTACCAGCAACATTACCGTCCTGGGTTAACCCCGTTTTCTTCATTCTTATACTTATTTAAAATTAGGTTTTTATATTTTACTTTAAACTGTTTTATGTTTTGACTGTCTTTTATTTCTTCTGTTAGACTGTTCCATAATTTAACTCCTGCAATTGAGATAGACATAGTTCTTAAAGTTGTTCTAGCACTTTGTATTTTTAAATTCCATTTCCCTCTTAAGTTATACCCACCTTCTCTTTCTATGAACAATTTACAGATTTCTTTGGGAAGCAATTTATTTCTGACTTTATACATTATTTGCGCTGTTTTAAGCTTCACCAAGTCTTGGAATTTGATAGCTTGCATTTTGACAAAGAGTGCATTTGTATGGTCCCTGTACCCTACATTATTTATTAATCTAATGGCCCTTTTCTGTATTATAGTTATTGTTTGTGTGTTACTTTTGTATGTGTTTCCCCAGACCTCTACACAGTAGCTCATATATGGCAGTAGTAAAGCACAGTATAAAATGTGCAGTGCTTTCTGATCCAACATATGCTTTGCTTTCCCCAGGACGGCAATGCCCCGTGCCAATTTCCCCCGAACATAAGTAATGTGTGGCTTCCAACAGAGCTTGTGGTCAATGATCACCCCAAGAAATTTTATTTCATTTACTCTTTCTAAATATACATTGTCAACACATATTTCTACTTCGATATTTTTCTTTTGGTTTCCAAACAACATAAATTTGGTTTTATCTAGATTCAATGATAATTTATTTATATCAAACCACTTCTTTAATATCGTTAATTCCTGTGTGATCATTTCCAAAACCTGTGGCAACTCCACACCTGAACACAGTATATTTGTGTCATCTGCAAATATTACAAACTTTAAAATCTCCGATACTCTGCAGATATCATTTAAGTACATAATAAACATTTTTGGACCCAGTACTGAACCTTGAGGTACTCCACAAGCTATATCCATCAAATTAGATTTATATTCATTTATTTGTACATATTGTTGCCTATTCCCTACATAGCTTTTTAACCATTCCAAAACCACTCCCCTAAACCCGTACTTTTCCAGTTTTTTTAATAGAATTTCATGATTAACAGTATCAAACGCCTTCTTTAGATCTAAGAAAACTCCGAGCGCATACCTCTTATTATCCATACATTCCGTTATCTTTTCCATTAACTGGGAGAGTATTGACATTGGTCTATAGTTTGTAAAATGATGTCTTTCATTGATATTGCATTCAGAGGTTTAAACAGTGTGTGTCTTTCAGAAAGACTAAGTTGCAGGCAGGAGTTGACAGGAAGTTGCAGAGAGTTTGCAGAAGTGAAAGCAGAGTCTAAGTTATTCTGAGGAGCAGGTTAGACGAGGCTATTTGAATTACTGGGTTATTCAAACTGTCTGTTATACGTTTATATTCTCTTATTAAGCTTTTAATAGAGGTTCTTGATTAAAACATTTATTCAATATAGTACATATAGTTTCAGTTAGGTTGTTACACATAAGGATGAGCCTCTGTTCTGGTGAAAGGTCAGAAGTGCAACGGGTGAGATGAGAGAGCATGTAAGGTCAACACATACACACACACATACATTAGTTAGACTCATTTATAGGTGAGAAGTTGGTCATGTTTGTCTCTGGAAAGAGGAACAGCGTCTGGCAGGATGTGGGGCTCATGTTCCAGACGATGTTCTTTTAAACCGTGTTAAAAGGCATTGTGGTTTTAATTGGACGTATGTATATATTCTGTCTGTGACGTATGAATGGGCGTCATTAATTCAAACCCTGATGCTATAAAAATCTGTGTATGCTTTGATTAAGTCGAAGATCAATCCCTGTCTGCGTACAGACTGGTTTTCCCACGCGTGCATTCATTAAAATCAATTGTTTGACCAAGCTCTGGACCATAGTTGTTTGTACTCTCCTTCCTCAATATGTGAACCTTAACAATCATCAAAGAAGAAATAAAAGTTTAGAATTGTATTTATTGTATTCTGAAAAAGCATGGTGTACATATTAAAAAAATATTTTCAGAAACCCTGATTTTGATATTTAAGAAAAGGTGAATGAAAATAATAAAATATTAACATGTTTCCTCAAACGTGTGTACAGTATATGCTTTAATGTCTGTGCCTTTGAACACTGAAAGCAAAAGAAAAGGAGAGTTTCTATTTTGTTATGTTGTAATCTTTTTTTCAACTTGAAAACAGTTTAACAAAAACTCAACTGACTCGAATCTGCAGCTTCTAACTGTATATCATGATCATGATCAGCAGCTGCAGTTTTCTCAGTTATGTTTTTTATGACTTCTTTTCTGTGTCAGCTGAAAGGTTGAGATGATTCTGTATATGGTCCAGTTTCCACATGGTAAACTATCAGACTGACTGATTGACAGGACAGATGATCAGAGGTTTAATTTTTTTACCACAACTGTTCTCATCATCATTATCAACATTAACTTTGGGACAGAACAATGGGTAGAGTTTCTCAGTGAAGGACCAGCCAGTAAAGGAGTAGATCACATCTACATCATCTACATCATAAAAGGAGACCAGACCCTCCTCATAATCCACAAACACCCCCACCTTCTCAGAACCACGCTGAAGAGAGAGTGGGACTGTGGGATCTTCAAGAGCTCCACAAATGTTTTCATATGCTCCTACTGTCCAGAGACCATTCGCAGGACTCGGTGTGATGACTTCCTTCCTGTTGACTGACTCTCTGACCACTCCTAAAACCCAGTCAGGCTTTTCTTTAACCTGAACCTCAAAGTAAAATCTGCCTGAAGAGAAACTCTGCTTTCCTAAAACAAGACGCTCCACAGAAAATCTCTCTGGGTTGTCTGGAAGATCATTCTCCTCTTCACCACAGTGTACTTGTTTTCCATCATCAGACAGGATGAGATAAGGATGTGCTGTATCAGGATCAAGAGTGATATCCACTGCATACTGCTGGACCCTCTTCAGCTCAGCCTCAAACAGCTTCTTCATGTCTTTACTGAGAGTCTCCTTCAGCCGACCCACAGCTCTCACCACAGTCCCCTCATATGATGGTGGATGGATACTGACCTCTGTCCAGTGCTTGGTGGTTGGAGCAGCTTTCAGGGATGAGAAGCTTTGGAGGAGGTGGAGGTGATCTTTAGAGCGTGAGAGCTGCTCCACCTCAGAGCTTCTCTTCATCAGCTCAGAGATTTCCTGTTCCAGATCTGTGATGAAACCTTCAGCCTGTTTCTCTGTTGTTTCCTGTTTATCTTCAATCTCCTTTATGAACTTTTTCAAACATCTCCTGAGAGTCTTCCTCAGAGCAGTGAAGACCTGAACACCTTCTGCTTTCTCTCTGTCTGCAGCATCTTTACTCCTCTTCACTGACTCTTTGATCTCCTGAATCTTCAGTCGTCTCTTCTGGATCATCTGTTGAATTTCAGCCTCAGTCTCCCCCAGCTCTGCCTTCTTTCCTTCATATTCTTCTCTCAGAGGAACAAACTCATGAGTATTGTGGTCAAAAACACAGCAGAGCATGCAGACACATGTCTGATCGGTCTTACAGAACAGCTCCAGAGGTTTATCATGCTTCATACACATCCTGCTTTCCAGGTTCTCCTCAGGATCAATCAGCTGATGTCTTTTCAGCCGTGAAGCTGTCAGATGAGGCTCCAGGTGAGTCTGACAGTAGGAGGCCAGACACACCAGGCAGGACTTCAGGGCCTTCAGTTTGGTTTCAGTGCAGATGTCACAGGGAACTTCTCCTGGTTTGGCAGCTTGTTGCTCTGAGCTGCTGCTGCTGACTTTCTGCTGAGCTTCATGTCTGAACTGAGAAACCATCTCAGAGATGAAAGTGTTGATGTGCAGCTCAGGTCTGACTTCAAATGCCTTTTTACACACAGGACACTGACACCTCTCACTGATATCCCAGTGTTGACTGATGCAGTTTTTGCAGAAGTTGTGTCCACATGGTGTGGAGACTGGATCAGTGAAGACATTCAGACAGATGAAGCACAGAAACCGATCTTTCGATAGAAGACAGCTGGCAGCAGACATGTCTGCACCCTGAGTGAGAAAGAAAAGAAAATGATTTTATTTTAAATCGCAGTCACATTTAAAATGAACCTATTTTGCTTTTCTTTCTCTTCTGTCACATATCTCCCTTTCCAGTGGTGGATTTTCGCGCTAAAAATGACCAGAGTTTCAAATAATTGTAAATGTACCTGTTTTTATACAGCTATATATCCGGTCTTTAAGTCTGATGTTGTTAGCTGTTTCCGGGTTCAAACTCCACTTCAGGTCCCAAAGTCAAAAGAACACTGCAACATCACTGAGAGCTATGAACTGTCTAAATTCTTTCATCTTAAATAAAGTGATTAGTGTGGCTGCTCTACCAGGTGTAACCACTAAGTTTAACATCCAGGCATCCATGAAAACAGAATTTATGAAGTTTAATGGACTTCAAAGTCAGTAGAGAGTTTGCTCGCTAGCTTACACCTAAACATAATATAGCATGTTCTGACTGAGGGATTTCTGAAAAATTAAAACGTACAGCTCTGCTACCACTTCCGACATAAATGAAGACAGAAAACTAAACAGTAGTGACGTTTGTAGGGTTACTGAAGTTGGGCTAGCTGGTATATAGAAATGTGGCTAGCTACACAGCTATGGTTAGTATTGTCATGGGCTGGGTCTATGACTGAGCATTTTGAGTTCATTTTGTATTTCTAATTTCTTATATTATATTGAAAGTATGAAAAGTTCTTGTGTTGGTATTATTGGTTAGGATTTAGTTGAATTTTTATTGCAGTTTAGGTTTTCATGTGTAAATCTGTTCTTGTCTCCTGTGTCAGTATGTCAGGTATTTCTTGTCTGTGTGTTTCATGTTGTCAAGCCAGTGATGTTATGTCTACGTCTTTCCATGTTTCCTGTTACTTTTCTCTGTGGTATCATGAGGTTCATTTGTGTCAGCTGTTTCCCTTTGTCAGTGTTTTCCAACCACTGCGACCTGGTGTGCTGTAAGAAATGATCAGCTGTGTCTTGGAAGATTATCTGGTTCCGTTTGATTAGCACTCTAAGTCAGCGGTCCCCAACCTTTTTTGCGCCATGGACCAGTTTATGCCCGACAATATTTTCACGGACCGGCCTTTAAGGTGTCACGGATAAATACAACAAAATAAAACTAGTACCGGTACTGAAAAAAAGAAGATTTATTCATAACACATGTGAAAAGACCCAGGAAAACCGAGTTAACGATAAAAACGATAACAAAATAACGCTGAAAACCGATAAAAACCCTGAAAACCATAAATTTCACACCTGAACCTCAACTATCGTGGCCCAGTACCAAACGACTCACGGACCAGTACCAGTCCGAGGCCCAGGGGTTGGGGACCGCTGCTCTAAGTGACAGGCATGAGTAACTGGGAAAACAATTACATTCTCCACTAGGGGGCAGTAACTACCTGCTCTAATTAAATGAGCTGCCACCTGCCAGTGAAACAGAAGAAGATGAAGAAGAAATTACATAATAGTCTTTCTTCGAGTCAGACAACACAGCGTGTAATAGCAATAGATAAATATTTGAAAAGAAAAAGTAGCCATCCTGACCCGGGTCCTGGAGAAAATTCCAATCCATTTTTTATTTATTTTTTTTTTTTTTTGCCTGTCCCGTTTGGCTCTTTTGCCATCAGAATTGTTGTCTAAAGGCAAAGAAAGATGCCCAACGGATTTACTTTACCAAATTGACCATCCCAGCCTTGCCATAATGGTCCATTTGATTCACCTTTTATTGTTTATTTTATTTTCACTTACTGAATATGGGACAGACTTGACTGGGGGAAAGAAGGGGAGAAAGAAAGAGGGAAAGAGAAACAGCTGAGAAGAGGGACGGGGGAGAAGGGCAAAAACCAAAAACCAACAGAATGAGCAGAAAAAGAAAAAAAAGAAGAAAAAAAATGCATATATCAATCACCTGGGTCACCTGCTGAGAAAGAAAACAGAAAACAAGCAGAAGAGAACAAGAGTAATAGAATAAACAACATCACAATGATATATGGGAATATGACAGTAAATACTAAATATTAAACATTATTGTGCAGCACATAAGATCAACAGAACACAGTGTGCTTTGAGGTAGGAGCCAAAAAGGGTGTAGTTTGTGGGTGTGATCACCCGTGTGTACACCTGTGAGCATGGACGCGTTTGTTTTTTGTTTTTTAAAAGGTTCCTTCATGTAATGATCTGCTAGAGGGTGTGGGGGGGCCACAGCAGGTATGGAGGAGATCAAAACTCCAGACATCCAGAGGCCCCCAGAACACAAGAGACCAAGGAAGACCAACAGAGGGGCAGCAGCGCCACTGTCCCAGAAAGAGCTGAGGAGAGTCCCAGATGAGGGCGGCCAACTCCTCCTCCTAGTCCTAGCCCCCCCGCTCCAGCAGGTCGCAGAGAATGGGGGTGAGAGAAGACTCCAAACCTCCCTCCACCCGCTCATTGTAGTGTTGATGCATGTGTGTTCTAAGGTGCATTTAAAACCCAGGAGGGCATGGAGCTACCTGCCAGAGAGCAGCAGGTAAGCGCATGGTCCCTCCTGATAGCCCTCAATGTCTACGTGTATTTAACATTGAGAGGTGGGCAACGACGCCAGGGGTGGGGTGTACACCCTGATGGTACTTTGGATTCCGTGTATCGTGCCCACCCCCAAGATCCTATATGTATGTGTAATGAGAGTGTGAGTAATGTGAATGTCTAAGTTGTGGGATAAAATTGAGGCAGAGGCAGCCAGAAGGGGACGGGGGGGGGGGGGGGGGGGATGGGGTGGCCTCCTCTGCACCCTGGTGACATACCCCTACTCCAAGGTCCTGCATGTGTGGGTGGTTGTGGTGGAGCGGGAAGAGGGAGGCAGCTGGAGATGGGGAGGGAAGGAAGGGAGGGGCAAGTGACCCCTCCCTGGGGCCAGCTCCCCCGCTGACCCCAGTAGGCACCCCCATACCCCGCGACCCACCAGGGAAAGGGGGCCCAGGCCCATCCAGACCGGGGCCCAGCGCAGCAGCGCCTCCCGGCCCCACAGAGCCCAGGACAGTCCACCCAACCCCACCACAGAGAAAACTGCACCCACCCCACCATCCACTCTTCTTCCAGACTACATAAGACAATAAACACCCAGGCTGAGATCTTCCTCCACCTCTCCTGTATCTCCCCCTCCTGTAGAGAGAGCCCCTGAGGAGAGGAAAGCTCCTGCAAGATGTGACAATCTTCCCCACCAGTTGAAGAGCCCCCCAGGTGGCTCGATGCACCGGCGGCACCCTGCTCCAGGGCTGGGCCCCCATGCACCCACCCGCCCACAACCCCGGCAACACACCAACCAGGACCCAAGCCCCCGAGGCCCGGCCCGGGCCCCAGCCCAGAGACGGAGCGCCCCCAGAACCTCACGCCCATCCCGGACCCACCCAGGGGCAGCCAGGTTACCAGGTCAGTAACCCACGTCCGTCAGCACAGACCCTCCCCTAGTCCCGCTGCACGCAGCCGCGAGGAAACAGTCACCTGAGAGCCAACAGAGCCCCTAACCGGACATGACCGCTACCCCGGGTTGAGCCCCCCAAGGAAAATGCCTCCGGGGAACCCCCCGACGCCCTAAGCCTGTCCCTACCCCCACACCAATCACAACAGTGAAGGCGGGACCAAACTATGACCCCCCACCCCCACTAGGTGATGGAGCTGATCAAAGTAGCCCAGAGCAATTGATCTGATGTGGTGGCAGAGGCTGTATCAAGACTAATGTAATCTAATAGATAATTTCTATATTGGTTAGAATTAAGATTATGATTATGAAAATTCCAATCCAGATGAAGGCCCTAGCATGAGTAGTGGTCAGAAGAAAGCAAAAAACGGTATACTGGGGACAAACTGAGCCAATCCCACTATATCTGGTGCGTGGGGGGAAATTATCAATAGCCTTTTTGTGACATTTTTGTTTAGTGGTGTGCCCTGTAATTTTTCTAATGTGAAATATGTGCCGTGGCTCCAAATGGTTGGGAATGGTTGTGTTTCCACTTCCCCTAATCACCTCCTGTGTGTATTTAGTCTACATGTTTTTGTTCAGTCTTTGTCTGGTCGTCTGTGTTACCTCCCACCACGTCATGTCAGGATTAAGTCTTTCACGACTCAGCTCAGGTTTCATGTTTCTTGTTCTTGTTACCTCCTCATAGTTTCTCGCATACTCGTGTTCATGTCACCGTGTCATAGTTAACCATAGTTTCTCCCTGTCTAGGTTTCAGTTTAGTTTTCCCCTGGTTGAGCCTTGTTTTCTGTTTCATGTTTTTCAGCCTCAATAAATGGCTCGCCTTGTGTTTAACATAAGTTACGTCTCCTTCCATGTCTGCAATTGGGTCCCACTATTCACTCTACATACAGTCAGCTCCCACTGACCGTGACAAGCATAATGTAAACACATGAAGAAGAAGGATGAACGCAAACGTTTTTCCACTCAATAAAAGTTAACGCAAGGGTTCCCAGTGGTTAGGGACAAATGCAACTGCATTGCAGGACGCTGTAAACAGACCAAACTTCAATCAGGAGAACAACTGAGATAATCACGTCATCACTTAACAACCAGATAGTACTCATATAGTAATTAAAGCACTACACAACTTGCCTCATTCCCCCATTCATACAAGTATTTTTTCGATGCTCTTTCTGTTTAAGTGCTTTCTATCTAATATTCATACACATTCATACTCATAAGTAGGTCAGTGTATGTGAAAGTAGTCCTTGTGAGCCCAAAGTTCACATTTCAGTGTGCTCTGAACACTGTTTCACAGGTTATTTACTCCAAGTATGATGACAATACCAGCCATCTTGTGTTAGACGGCATCATGAGTTTGAAACTAGAAATCAAAGGAGTGATGTTGAATGTTGTCAGTGTGAATGCCTCACAGGTTGGATGTCAGTTAGAAGAGAAAGAGGAAGTCTGGAGTAACTTGGATGAAATAGCAGAGAGTGTCCCCAGTGGGAGAGAGTGGTGATAGGAAAACACACCAGCTTCAGCAGTGTTATAATTATGTTTCCTGACACAGAGAGAGTTTAAATTTAAAACAGAGTGACTGTGATGCTTTGAACTCACCAGTGTTGGATAGAAGCTCTGCTGTGCTGTTGAAAAAGGCTGGATGAGCTCAGTTTAAGGTTCCTTTGAGGACAGACTGATTTTTTCCCCACTGAATCAGCTGTGAAACAAAAAGTTTCATCTGATAAATGCTGGAATGCGATCCATCCAGACTTTTGTTCTGCTTCTTTGTTGTCAGGTTGGATTCCTTCTCAGAAACAGTTGGAGTTTTATTTTAATGCAAAAGTTAAAATAAGAGATTCAGAACTTCAGTCCAACATTTAGCATGCACTGCATCATGTCTTAAAGGGTTCAACAGCCAAAGAACAGAAGATGTTTTTTCTCCCAATCAAAGCTCCAGAAAAAATAAGAAACTCTTGTTTTTTTATTAAATCTTAATTCTTTTTTTTTTTTAATTAGAAGAGTCACAGTTGTCAAAGCAGCAAATTGTGGTTAGCCTTTATGTTTGTTTGTTTTTACTCCTAGTCTGTAATCCAGTGTTCATGTAGAAGTAATCCACATCATAAAGAGATGAGACTGTGTGGGGTCGCGAACTTTGAAGTCAATATGATAACCTTATCCCACCAACGCTGTGGAAGTCCAGCTTTTCAGATTCAATTAAAATTAAATCACTGAAAAAGGTCCTCTGGAAAAGAGTAGAATTCTTGGAACTGAGTTGATTAAACAGTGTCATATGAACATGCCCTGTGCATTTACAATAAAACAACACATAGAAAGCAAGCGAAGTGAAGCAAAGGTAACTCCAGGGTGTAGATAACTTTAAGCACACTGAGCAGAGACACACAAAATGACAGACAGGAAATGAAAATGAGCGCAGAGAGAGAAAGAGTCCCAGGTGCACACGTAGCTGTGCCAAGCTGAATTAACCCTATATGTTTGGACTTGTCACCGTTGGTCATAACACAATCAGAGGTTACTTATTGATCCTAATTATTACATTTCAAACAGTACTGATCAACATCTGCTCGTACAACAGGGGCACAAACTTCATTAATATAATTGTGAATAAGATTTGTGGATAATATTTGTGGGTCTTGTGATTTTGAACATGTAGGTTAGCTGCTTATCACAGTGATTCTATTTAAAAGAAAAAACCTCTCCAGTGTAGGTATATATATAATGGTTACGAGTATATATGATTATATTATATATGTGAGTATATGTCCAGTGTGTACAGGTATATATGTCATTTAAAAAATACCCAACAACTGAACATTTGGACGTGCTGTTGAGAACGGCTGGATGAGCTCAGTTTGATTCTTGTTTAAAAGAAAGATTTTAAATTTCTTTCAGTTTCACTTTTTGAATTCTGACCCTAAAGTTCAGTTTTTTTCAGGTTTCGTTCTGCCTCTGTCAGCAGGTGAGAGCTGGTGGCTAAGCAGAGACTTTTAATGTGATTATCAGCCAGGAACAAGTCAGGTGTTTTCTTACGCATGTGAGTTTCTGCCTCTCCCTACAGATCTGATTTTATGTGTTTCTTTGGTAGTTCAGTTATGTTGAGCAGTTTTTGTTTTTGTTTGTTTTTTTTGGGGGGGGGGGGGGGGGGGGGGGGCGGGGGTGGTCTCACAAATTCATCAGACCACCCCCGGGCGCACTGACAGAGGCGAGGCTGCCGGACACTGGCGTCCAAGGACACAACGACCAAGACTGTCGGAGCCGGGGCTCGAACAGGCAACCTTCCGATTACAAGACGAACTGCCAACTCTTGAGCCGCGAATGACCACATAACATCCCTTCTGCCCACTTACAGACATAACTTTTCAAATGTTTGCGTCACTAATGCCTCAAATGTAAGAAGAACAAACGCACACAGAGTGCCTCTCCGGCTGACTTATTTTCCACCCTGATTTACGAATAAATTCTTTACAAATCCTACCATGTGGATTCATGGATTTTTTTTTTCACATTCTGTCTCTCACAGTTGAAGTGTACCTCTGGTGCAAATTACTGACCTCTGTCATCATTTTAGGTGGGGGAACTTGCACAATCGGTGGCTGACTAAATACTTTTTTGCCCCACTGTAGCATTATATAGCTTTTTAGCATTATGCTGTTTAAACATTATACTTTTAAGCAGGCCTCTGTGTGACCTTAGGAGCAACAATAGTTGAAACAACATCACAGGAAAAAGATGCATAGGCGAGATACTAAGAAATAGTACAGAAGTTGCAGTAGATAACGGGAGGGGGGGGACAAAGGGCAGCGTTAAGAACAGTCTAACACTTTGGATAAGTATAGACTAGAAAAGCAGAACTAAGGAGGAGAGCGTAAACCCTGGGCGCAACACACTTAACACCTACAAAGCGCACACTCAAGACACTTGACATGACCCGCACACACACACATTGCAGATCAGACATGTACATCACACACACACATAAACAATTAAGACATGCATTTAAGAATGGGGTTAAAGATGCAAGACCTTAAAAGGAAAGGTAGAAGACGACAGATGAGGAAGAAGTTGTTTTGATCAAAACTGTGTATGTCGTATAGGCGAACGTGATATCAGAATAACAGGAAAGGTGGGAGGTAAATAAGGAACTTTGGAATAATATAAATGTAACAGTTAGAAGGACTGCCCTTTGAATCTGCAAGAGACTTTATGCTGACCTGATTCCCTCCTGTGCAGGGGTTGAAATAAAGAAGTTGACTGAATTGAAGAAGTCTGTCTCGAGTCATTCGTTTTGGTTTTTCACCAGGTCAGAAAAAAACGATCGGGCGCGGCATCAGCACACCGACACCGGGCTTCCCTCTGCATTTTAAACTTTATTAAGCTTTTACGTTAAAGGGAGTCACCTTATTCAGTGACTGAGACTCAATACACATTTATTCTAATGAAGACAGTCAACTAAACTGGACTTGAATTAATTTTTAATTGGTTAGTACATTCATTAGTTTACTGACACTTCTTGACAATAAATCGCAACTGGAGTTAATAAAAAAATATTGTAAAAACATATCAGACGTGTGGGATTTTTCTCCATTTACCCTAAATTCAGATTTAATCCCTATACGGTGGACCTAACCTGCTCCAGAGCAGAAACCAGACCAACTCACTAATCAGATTTCTGGAAAGTAGCATCACAGTAGCAGATTTTAAAAATCTGAAACCAGCAGCCCAAAGTGAAAGACGAGTCTTTATTTATCTTCCTTGAAACAGAGCAGACAGTAGAAAGTCTTATTTACAAAACAGATGAAGAACAGCCTGAGATATCTTCAGATGAACAGTACATCTTAGTTTTTACACATCTGATTCTGCTGCCATTAAACATTCATTACAGTTTATAACTACAATAGTTTTATGTCTTCAAGACTCAAACTGTTCATCAACATTAGGAAATATCTCAAACTTTCCAAACATTACCACTTTAAAATGAACAGAGATCAATTTTATTGAAATATTGGATGAAATATAGAAAGCTGTCCTGTAGGGCTTGTCTGATCTGAGCATCAATAAGAAATATAGATTTACAGGAACAAATCATAAACACGTCAATGTGTTTCAGACGAATGTGTTGGTGCCACCTGATAAAACCTGAACTAACAGTTAGAAGCTATTTTTTCCCATTTAAATGTAACGTTTAAATCTGCTTCATTAATGATGATTTGGAATTTGACGAGGAGAACAAAGACATGAATCTGTTTGACTGCAGGCCTGAAAATAATTAAATATTAACATTTGTACTCATATTTGTGAACAGTATATGTTTGAATGTTTGCACTTGTAAAAACTGAAAGAAGAAGAGAGTTTCGGCATTCTCAGAATGAAATTTCCTCAAATGGATCATTTTCTCCATGAGAACAGAGACACGAACCTGTTCCCAAACTGTTCACCTCATATGCTGCTGCCACATTACAGGGAAGAAGACTAGAGTTCAGCAGCTGATTATCATCAAAAAACATGAAAGGAGAAAACAAAAGTTCAGATTTTTATTTTTTATTTTTATTTAAGTGCACACCTTAAAACAGCAGAAGAGTTTCTGAATCCTGTTGTTTGATATTTCACAACATCTGTGCCTTAAAATGCTGGAAGAAAATTAAGGAAAGGTCTTTTTCAAACTGAAATTACACAAATGGGTTATACTGTTATCAGGTTGAAAACAGTAAAACAAACAAATCAATTAAAGTTCAGCGTGCTGACTTGACCTGCCGGTTCTGACTGAATATCATGGTTTTCATCAGCAGGTTTGAGTTGCTCAGTTCTGTTCTTAGGACTTCTTCTCTGTGTTGGTTTAATGTTACGATTAATCTTTAATTGATGCAATCTCTTCATGAAAAAAGATCAGACTGACTGACTGATGATCAGTTATCATCATCCTCATCATCATCACTGATGCCATCACCCACCATCACAGGACAGATGATCAGACGTCCAGAGTTTTTACCATCATCATTAACACCGGGATAGAAGAGTGGGCAGAGTTTTTCCATAAAGGAGCAGCCAGTAAAGGAGTAGATAAGAGTTGCATGATCTACATTATGGAAGGAGACCAGACCCTCCTCATAATCCACAAACACCCCCACCTTCTCAGGAACAGACTGAAGAGAAAGACAGACTTGAGGTTTATCAAGAGCTACACAAATGTTTTTATGTTCCGCTACAGTCCAGTAACCTTCATCAGGACTCGGTGTGATGGCTTCCTTCCTGTTGACTGACTCTCTGACCACTCCTAATATCCATTTGGTCATGTATTTAATCTGAACCTCAAAGTAAAATCTGCCTGAAGAGAAACTCTGCTTTCCTAAAACGCAAACAAACTTCGAAAATCTCTCTGGGTTGTGTGGACATTTCTTCCTATTGTCACTACGTTGTACTTGTTTTCCATCGTCACACACAACGAGTTCAGGATGTGCTGTATCAGGATCAAGACTCACATCCACTGCATACTGCTGGACCCTCTTCAGCTCAGCATCAAACAAGTCTTCAAACTCTTCATTGAGTGTTTCCTTCAGCTGATCCACAGCTCTCACCACAGTCCCCTCATATGATGGTGGATGGATACTGACCTCTTTCCAGTCCTTGGTGGTTAGAGCAGCTTTGAGAGAGGAGAAGCTTTGGAGGAGGTGGAGGTGATCTTTAGAGCGTGAGAGCTGCTCCACCTCAGAGCTTCTCTTCATCAGCTCAGAGATTTCCTGTTCCAGATCTTTGATGAAACCTTCAGCCTGTTTCTCTGTTGTTTCCTGTTTATCTTCAATCTCCTTTATGAGCTCGTTCAGACGTCTGTCAACAGACTCCTTCAGAGCAGTGAAGACCTGAACACCTTCTGCTTTCTTTCTGTCTGCAGCATCTTTACTCATCTTCACTGACTCTTTGATCCCCTGAATCTTCAGCCATGTCTTCTGGATCATCTGTTGAATTTCAGCCTCAGTCTTCCCCAGCTCTGCCTTCTTTCCTTCATATTCTTCTCTCAGAGGAACAAACTCATGAGTCTTGTGGTCAAAAACACAGCAGAGCATACAGACACATGTCTGATCGGTCTTACAGAACAGCTCCAGAGGTTTATCATGCTTCATACACATCCTGCTTTCCAGGTTCTCCTCAGGATCAATCAGCTGATGTCTTTTCAGCCGTGAAGCTGTCAGATGAGGCTCCAGGTGAGTCTGACAGTAGGAGACCAGACACACCAGACAGGACTTCAGGGCCTTCAGTTTGGTTCCAGTGCAGATGTCACAGGGAACTTCTCCTGGTTTGGCAGCTTGTTGCTCTGAGCTGCAGCTGCTGACTTTCTGCTGAGCTTCATGTCTGAACTGAGAAACCATCTCAGAGATGAAAGTGTTGATGTGCAGCTCAGGTCTCATCCTGAACACCTTTTTACACATGGGACACTGACACCTGTAGCTGATATCCCAGTTTTTACTGATGCAGTTTTTGCAGAAGTTGTGCCCACATGGTGTGGAGACTGGATCAGTGAAGACATCCAGACAGATGGAGCACAGAAACTGATCTTCAGATAGAAGACAGCTGGCAGCAGACATGTCTGCACTCTGAGTGAGAAAGAAGAGAAACTGATTTTATTAATTCCACTGGTGGATGTTTAGGTTAAACATGACCCAAGTTTCAAATACTGAGGTCAAAGTTCTTACAGCTCTAAACACAGTTTATAATAATTTATTTCAATGACATTAGGCTGTGAAGCCTTTTTTAAAATACTAACTTTTTTAATTAATCCTTTTTTATTATTAGTTAGCCTCATCGTGCATGCGAGGAAAAAAATGAATACAAGCAAATAATTATATTTCATGGGTGAAGGTATTTTGGCCAAATTATAATTGCCAGGTCCTGAGGCACACTTCCTTTCCTGATCCTCGTTATGAAGTTTTTCATTTGTTGCGTCTTTTAATGGAATGATTGAATGGACCTGCTGTGGAAAGTGAAACCACGTGGACTTCCCCTGTGCAGAGAGCGATTACAGATGTTACACATTTTAAATAAACAGAAATAAATGATCCTTGTTGTTGTTTGCTTAATGACTGATTTCAGTCTTAACAAACCATCTTTGAAAATGATGTTTGTGGGTCGATTTAAATGCTTCAAGTGTGAGTGCAATCAGCTTCTACTCAATGTGTTGATAGAGTCAGACGCAGATGTATCACAAGTTAATCTGATTGTAGGCTATGGCACTTGGACACAGGTGGCATTAGTGGACTGGACCACATTTGAGTGCAGACAGGCAACAACGAGGAAATCACATGGGAGTAATAAAATATGGTAAAACTGATAACAAAAACAACAAGATTCTTGGTAACTTTCATGGTATTCTGAACAGCATCGGTTTGGTTTTGTTTGCAGTTTTCACAGTCGCCTCGTGCACGGGATTATTACCAGATAAACTTAAGGGCATGTTAAATATTTTTTTGGTCAAGAGCAACAACAATGACAGACTGGGTTTGAACTAACTGTCACTGACATCCTTTTTAGTGTTTATTTCCTGCTTTGTCTGTAGCGGCTCCGGAAAAGCGAATCTGCGACACATCTGTTTGAACACCAGTTAATGTGAAACATCATTAAATCTAAAACACCTTTGACATGAAATTATTTGCTAATGATTATGTTTTTGTCGCCTGAGTTTTGGCATAAATTTGCGATTTTTGGCCCATTTTGAGCCGATTTTTGAGTCGTGCGACCGTTTTGGCGATCGGCCCGATTTTGGCCTTCATCGTGCGTCGTGCATCGTGTAGTATACGTGGGGTAACGAGAAGCGATTGACACCTCACGACCCGCTCCCGATCATCAATCGATTGAGAGTCGTGAGGGTGTCACCGTAGTTTGTCACACTGCGCACGCGCAAAGACAAATGTCAGCGAAAAACACGGAGCAGCACGGCTGTGCAGCGTGTGATCTGGACACAAGCGATGGAGGCACAACTTGTAGAGCTTTGGAAAGCTCATCCGAGCCTTTTCGGTGTGGCCTCACAAAATTATCACGACCACAACAACCGTGAAAATAGTTGGATCTATACTGCTGCTCAATCACAGCTGCCTGATCAATGTTTTTCATTAGAAATTTAGCAAAGTTGATGGTGGTGGCGTGTCTGTGTGAGTGAAAGACAGAGAGGGAGAGCGAGCGACAGAATTTCTGTTATAACCTTCATTTTTATGGACGCACAGTGTGAGCACTCAGGTCGCATCAGAGCATCGGGCGGTATAGTGTGAGACCTGCATCGTGACCTACCAACTTCTAACCCCTGCGAGTCAATCGTGCAGTTTGAGCAGGAGCTGAATCGCGCGACTGAAAAAAATCGCACAGTGTCTGCAGCAGAGATGACGCAGCATCATCTCTGCAGATCAGGATTACTGAAAGTGAAAGTTTACCATTTGTTTGCACTGCGCTAAAAATCAGAACAGGGTGAATTTGCATATTTTTATAAAAAGAATTTATAAGAGGAGAGAAATGTAGAGACGTGTGTGGAAATACCCCAACCAGCAGGTGAACTGCACCGTATTTGCAGGTTACAAAGAGGAGGCTTAACATGTGGACTTTAAAACAGTGTGATCGTGATCATCTGTACTTACCCGTGTTGGAAGACGCTCTGCTGTGCTGCTCAGAAAGGCTGTAGAGCTCAGTTTGACGCTCCTGTGAAGAGAAACAAGTTTTGCTGTCTTTACTGTGAGTTTCACTTCTGGACTCTGACGCTGAAGCATGTTGCTCCGCCTCTGAGAGGCGGTGGCTCAGCAGTGCGTGGATGCGTATTGATGGACGTGATCACAGTTCGTGTTCAGTCAACTATTATTGTATCTTTTAAGAAATTGAGAAAAAAGCAACGTCTTCATTGCCAAGAAAAGAAAAGACAATAGGACGCTCCGAAGACCACGCCCACATAGGTGGAGAGCAGGAGAAAACCGGAAGAAGCAGTGAAGAGTAAAGAAAAGGGCTGTCTCCCAATTCAGGGTCTGCAGCCTTAAAGTACGCAGCCTCAACGATCCTGAAGGGCCGCGTACTCAAAGACCGCTAAGGCCGGAAGTGCGAGGCTTGTGTAATGGGACGGCCTAGCCTCCGTTGCGCTGATACTGTTGTTTGTCAATAAAGTTTAAATAAAAAGAAAGAAAAAAAAGCCTCCGTTGCACTGCCCAGGTTGCCTAGCAACCATGATACTAACCACTGGAAACGTGTCGTACAGCTTTGTTTGACAGAAATGAAGGAGAAAATCTTCTGTTCATTTGTTTGTTTCTTGCTACATGAGCTTTGATCATTCTCTGTAAGATTAAGGTCAGCTATTGAACGGCGTATATTTTAAAGTAAAGGCTTTAAAACCAAGTTAGTACAAACATCACTAATGTCACATAACTTTGCCGACATGTGGCCAACAGTAATATTTAATGTTCTTCGTTATTAAACATTTGCACATAAATAAGTGACATAATATTCAGTACTTAAAGTGTACTCTTCGGCCGCCCTTCACCCGCTGTTTTTTTCTGCAAATTTATCCACACCCATCGCCACGCTATGCATTCTGGGATATGTTGGGCCACGAAGTCTACACTGCCACAGCCTTAAAATTCAGGTAGAAGACAGCTGGCAGCAGACATGTCTGCACTCTGAGTGAGAAAGAAAAGAAAATGATTTTATTAACAATTCCAATTTTGAATGTTCATGTTAAACATGACCAAAGTTTCAAATAATGAGGTGAGTGTTTTTGAAACTGATCCTTGTGCGCTCTAAGTTCAGACTTCAGACAGCTCTAAACACTCAGTTTCACACAGTTTATGATTATTTTTTCAGTGAAATTAGGCTTTAAAACCATTTTTATTTTAATTTCAGCCTCATGTTTTTATTGAGTTATTAATTGGTTTGCATTAAAATTTACTTCAAACTCCATGAAAATGTTGACTCATTAAACTTTACACAACCAGAATAGGCACAAAGAATTTATTTACATGAGTAACAATGAATATCTGTACCAGTGACATAAAAAAATATTTGCTTGTGATAATATTTTTTTTCACGTGACTTTTGACATAAATATGCACTAAAAATACATAAATAAATCAGAAGAAGGTAAATGTTCATATTTTTATAAAAAATAATTTAGCACAGGGTAGAAATGTGTGTGGAAATACCAGGGCTGGACTGGGGCAAAAAATCCGCCTAGCATGCCTAGAGACCAGCCCACCAGGTATTATAGGAAAAGCCATAAAGCCTTTAAATGAAAACAAACGCTGTTGTGACAGTGATGTACACTGTCTTGTTGGGATATATATATATATGATTTCTATACATTTTACATCAGATGACCACTTTGGTAAAAGCTAGACATTTTAAATGAGAATAAGAAAGAAAAGTATTTCTTTGTGCCCCCCTTTCCCTGTCTACCTGGCCCCCTGGCAAAACTTTGCTAGACCCGCCCCTGCACAGTTACCACCTGTCAGCTGGTGTTATTTGTCTCTCAGAAACAGTTCATAGCTTCCCTTCAACCCATTCATGTCACCTAAAAGGTAAACGTGTTTCTCCATCACCTGTTCAGCTCTGATGATTCAGTAAGGACATCTCCTGGTTTCATCTTCATGTTTCCCTCTCACCACATATCCAAACCGATATCATGACCAGCAGGTTTTACAGTTGTGGCTCCAGCAAACATCAGTTGATATTAGAAAGTAATATTAAATAAATTCAAAAAACAGCTGATCAAGCTTTAACTTTGTGGCATGGGTGTGGTCTCTGGCTGGCTGCAGAGGAGGGGTGGCACGGTGAGCTCCCGGGGCGGCATGGAGGCAGGGCTGAACAGGTGTTGGGGACAAGTGACTGATTGTGACTCTTTTTATGTTTCAGTGACAGTCGAGGAGGGAGAGCGGAGTGACCGCTGAGCGGGAGTGTCTGTGTCCCGTGTAGTAAGCTGAAACCACAGTGAACAACAGTGATAATAAAATAAGTGTGCTGTCACCATACCCACGGTCTGTTTGCATGTGTTGGGGTCTGACATCACAGTGGTGCCGAAACTCAGGCCGCAATGTCGCATCTCCAGCCCAACCCGCCTGCTCCTCCGGCGCCCCAGCCGCCTGCCCAACCGCTACAGATGCTGGGCCAGATCATGCAGGACATGGCGGCGATGGTGGCTCGTCAGGCTGCGACTCAGGGTCAGCAGTTGGCGATGCTATGCCAACAATCGGAGCAGCAGACCGCGGCCCCGGGGCAGCTCTTGGGGACTGTGGCCGTTAAACCGGATGGTGGAGGGGGAAGACCTGCTGGTCTAAGCTTTCCAGGCCACGGCGTTGGCCTGCCAATGGCCGGAGGATGAATGGGCCTGGACTGTTTGGGCCTCTCGGCGGTGGTTCCGAGCCAGCAGGATGACAGGAGGGGAGCGGCCATTTGCTTAGGCTCGTCAGCTGGAGGATGCAGCAGCTAGGTGGGTGCGGCCGGGACTTCACCAGAGGAAGCTCAGCTGCTCAATCTGGTTGTCCTCGAGCAGTTCCTGGAGGGGTTGCCGGAGGCTACGGCTCACTGGGTCCGCTGCCACCGCCCGGCGACTCTGACGGCGGTGGTCACGCTGGCGGAGGACCATCTAGCAGCGGTCCCAGGACTTGCACGGGAGGAGCCACGGCAGAACAGCCGGGGCCCGTCATAGCGGCTGCCCGGAGTGGCAGGTTGGAGGGGGGGATGGCGGCCGCGGCGGAAAGGAACACAAGGTGGAGCTCTAGAAACCCATTCCTACCGCTGCTTCCAGCTGGGACTCCAGTAGCGGCTGGTGCTGCCCTGGAGCCACAAGGAGCCGCACAGACGCCGGGGCCGGAGTGCTGGAAGTGCGGGTGGCCAGGGCATCTGCGCCGGGAGTGTCTGCTTATGGAGGTCAGGCAGGTGTTCCTGGTCGCTGGGACTCCAGCACCCGCCCCGGTTCAGGAGGGACATACCACATACCGGTAAGGTGTCAAGGGTGTATAAGCCATGCCTTGGTCGACACGGGCTGCACGGAGACCCTGGTGCACAAGAGCCTGGTTCGTCCCGGGGCATTGTTGGAAGCAGAGTGGGTGGAGGTGAGATGTGTGCACGGGGATATTCACAAGAATCCGGTAGCGTCGCTGCTGCTAAAATTTAGGGGCAAAACGCATAGGTTAAATCCGGCGGTTAGCCGTCAGGTCATCTCCCGGGTCGGTATTCCGAAAGAAATACTGACTAACCAGGGCACATCGTTCATGTCTCGCACTTTGAGCTGTAAGAATTACTGGGCATTAAATCTATTCGGACTAGCATCTACCATCCTCAGACTGATGGGCTGGGCTCAGTGGGCTCGTTAATATTTTAATCAAACTTTGAATTCTAATTTAACACAAAAACAAACACTGTAAACAAATCCACAGAACAAAAGCAGAACCAAACTCAGTAGCCAAACAGTATGTCCTCAGTGCAGGTTAACATTCAGAAAAATCAAATGCCTCAGCTTTGATAGGCTGATGCGGTTCCTCCTCTTAGTTAGTGTTGCAAAATCTGTTTATGTTGTCCTAGTAAGGCTACCATGGGGGCAGCCACTAGAGGTCACTAGAATACTGGTGTGTATATGTTTTTCAGAAATTGATGTAGCCACGTACACTGCTGCTACAATTCAATAAAAGCGGTTCATGCTTGAGAACCCTGCGTCTTATTGCCTCCGATCATGACAGTATCTGCTTCTTCTTCTTTTAACTGCAGTCAGATGCTGCTTCATTTATGGGTGTCAGTCATATTTTGCAACGCACTCACACTCTCCTCCTCACTGCTGTCTACCATCGCATTCACTTACTGAGGGGTAGTGATGTGAGGAGCGATCCTGAAATATCTATATTTCCATTACCAGCCTTTCATGTTGCAGGATCAATTCCCATATGAAAATATCAATATCCAATTTGATTAAACTTTTTAATTTGTAACTTTTTTATTTTTAATTGTAAATATGACATACAGACAAAAGCAAACTCGCCAGTTAGCAGGATAGTCAGTAATACACTATTAATAGGAACTACAATCGCCTCTCATTTATGTGTGTACTATGCTCTGCAAGAGTGCGAGCCAATGAGAAATCCGAGGCACAAAACATTAGACCACAAAACACGCAATCTTGACTTTGTTCACAGATCATAACTGAGTTTACGTTCAGCATATAGACAGTATGTTGTGTGCGATGTATTTGGGAAGACGGTTAAATACTGTGGAAACACAACACACTTGTGGTCACTTTATATCACATATATCAGTATATTGACAGGATAGACCGCTACTCCTTCACGTCCTTTCAAGAGTTCTGTCCCCTCGCGCTGGAAGATTTCTGGGGTGCTGGGAATACCAAATGGTAGCCTGCTGAAGTAGTATCTGTCAAATGAGGTTATAAAAGTTGTCAGTTTGGTGCTGTCCATATAAAGTGGTATTGGCCAGAACCTGCTTGCAGCATCTAACAGAAAAAATACTTTGGCACCTGCAAGTTTAGGCAAAATGTCATCAAAAGTTGGTAAAACATATTTTTCTTTTTATGGTGCCTTATTCAGCTCTTACAAATCAACACGGATTCTGATCTGTTTCTTGTTTCCAACAGAAATTTATCGGAGCACATCACTCAGTTGGCTCTGGAATTGGTTGAATCACACCACAGTTTGCCAAATGATCCAGTTCTTTCTTCACTTTTGGTAACATGGATACTGACATTATCCTTGCAGTCATCACACTGTAAGGAAGTGCACGCTCTCGGAGTGTGATCCTGATGGGTTTGATTTCAACCTCCCCTCACAGATTTGTTCTGAAGCTCCTATTTCTTCCATGAGTTTTATCAGGCCCATGGTAGCTGCAACATTGTGACTTAAGAGGTGAATGCCTTGTGAAGCTTTATTCATGTTGACTTTAAACCTCATTCTTTTCTCCTTCCTCATTGTGGTGGCTATAAAATAAACTACCTACACAGTTCAGTTTGCTTCCAGGGCTGTATAACTGCTTCACTGGTTTTTTATTTCTTAGTTTTGGCTT